CATGTCAAGAACCTGTGAGCTTACAGAACATGGTTCACGCCTGAGCCTATAGGGAGGTGGACAGTGAAAGGGATCGAAAGAAACTAGAACTTGGGTGGATAGTGTGAGTTGATTAATTACATCTATGGTTGAGAGAGTTGAGACACAAAACGATAAAATATCACTTTGGAACCACTCCGCCACCACCCTCAAACACATACAAAAAGGACATGGAAGACACAGGGAAAAAGGGAAATGACCAGCTCAGATTTCTGACAGCATATAGTAAATATCACGGTGGTACAGCTGGGAGAAATGCACTCAGCAAAGTTTTTTTTTAAACCCCTCTTCCCCTGCAGTTTCCCTGTGTGCTCCCCTGCCTGTTCACTCACCCACCCCTTTGCTATACAGCTAGCAAAATGATCAGGCTCGGGGCTCACAACCTTTCTAGCATAGTGGAAGAAAGGTTTAATTCTTCCCCAGCCTTGGGAACAGCTTCTGTTCCAGACTTTCAGGTGGGGACTCACTTGACCAGCGACTAGGTCAACACAGTGCACTAAGCCAGCTTGGTTTTGTTTGGGAAAGCATTCAGTCAGGGGAGTCTCTAGCTGCAGGCTGCAGGGACATACAGCTTATGTAAAGAATGCTCTCCGTGATGAAAGCCAGGCTTCTATCCCCGGGGAAGCCCGCGATTCCTTAATAGCATTCAATGGTCCACTCTACAGAATGCCAAGACATTGCTACAAAGGTGGGAAACCGCAGACGTGAGGATTATACCTGGCCCTCTGATAACCACTTCCCCTTCCACCTGACTGATTGTTGGTTTTGTGGCTTCGGCACAGCTTTCCCCATCTTGAACAGCTGAAATACCTCTCCTCAGTCTGAGTCATGGCAAGTAACACTCAAAGCTACAATATGGTATTTTGTGTGTGTGTGTGTTTGGCCTACCCTCTTTTGCCCCACTGGAATGCACACCCAAGAGCTTCTCTGAAACAGAATGTGACCCCCAGGATGAAAGAGATTCCCCACCTATGCACTACTGCTTCATTATCACATTCTCTCAAAGCACAATCCTGCGTCTCAGCTATTTGCTTTGCAACAGGATATTGTCCTCTTCCTTCTTCACATTACTGAAGTTTATTGGGCCCATAGGCTGGAAGGGATCACTCATATCAGGCTTTTCACTTAAAAAGCAAATACCCATACAAAAAAGGCCATCACCGACACAGACCCATGTGCCTACATGTATAAATGGAAAGAATTCAGCCCCTTCCTAGCAGTTTTAACTCCCAAAGCAGACATGCATTCCAAACACAATTGACTCAAAAGCTCCTTTAAGGGGGCAATAAAAATATACTGATGCCAGTCTTTGAGGGAGAGGAAGAGAGACTATGTTTTCTCCTACCCACCCCCCACCCCACTGTTACAGGAAGACTGCCTACACTTTAAGTACAAACTGGGTATATATAGAAGCACAAACTAGACATCCTGAAAAGGCCACATTTTCCAACCACAAAGAATGAAAGAATTACATACCCAGCTACAGTAGAGAATACAGCCCTGTCTAACCATCTGATCACCCAAACTGGTGAGAAACTAAAGAGAAGGAGAGGCAACTCCAGTTCATGGTCTACCTGTAGTTGCAGAAGGGCCATCAGGTAATTAATTGAGTATTTTTCACATGACTTGCCCATGAAATCATCAAGCTCACCACAACCATGTCTCTGTTAAAAGTATACCTCTGATCTGGGTACATTTATAAACTTCTTCCCATGGGGACCAGCTTCCTGGAATTTTTACAAGTTATTCACATATCAGAGCGTCCAAGGGGCTAGCAGTCATTTGTGTGGTTTATGAACTCACTGAGAAGTCAAATTTTGTTGGCAGGACTCTACACTTATCCAGACTGGCATGGGACTAACACAGAATCATAGAGTTGGAAGTCAAATGGGAGACTGCAGTCTCCATATATAAAGGAAATATTTCATATGTACAGTGCTTATACAGCTAAAATTGTGTTTTAAATTTGCCCCTCCTTCCCTGTGGGCTTAAATGCAATATTTAAATATCCCACAATTATTTAGTAAATTAATATATTAATAATATACATTTCTGCTTAACCACAGGCCACTTTCTCAGTTGTTGAATTTTTCCCAATAGCAAAAATAATCCAGGTGTTGAAAACAAACACAACCTCTTGGAAGGAACTTCTGTGGGGTGATTTATATAGGATGTAGGACATGCAAAAAGGTGCTACATGGCGCAGTGTGTCATTGAAAGGTTCCTAGCCCATTGGAGAGTACATGTAAGTTTGTTGCATTGACACAATCATAATCCATTTATTTCTTTATTTAATTTTATTTCTACACCATCCAATAGACAAAGCTTTCTGGGAAGTAAACAACAGAAATAAATACAATAAAATACAAAACAGACTAAAACAACAATAAAACCTCATTGAATTACATTTAAAAGTTAAAATCACAATTTTTACAACTAAACAATTAAAACCATCGTGCTAGGCCTACTGAAAAATGGCTGACAATAAGCCCCATGTGCTATTTGGAGTTGGTAAATGTTGGTAAAGAGGGGAGTCTTAACCTGGTGCTGAAAGGATAGTAAAGTTGGTGCCAGGCATGCTGGGGATACCATCTGGGGGCTACTACAGAGAAGTCTCTCCTCCTTGTTGTCAGCAACCAAGCCTCACTTGGAGACAGCTTTTAAGGAATGTAGTGCTAAGGCACATTGTAGTTGTGATCTACAACCCAGAAGCAACATTAACATGCTAACGCTACATACAACAAGATGCTGGGCCATGTGACACAGGAACTCTTAAGGAAATGCCATGCCACTCGGAACCCTACACACATCAATGCTTCTGCACTCTGCACTCTTGTGTAAACTGACCCTTCTTCTCTTTCTGTGTGCATGCCAAAGACTCCTTTACATACAGACTGGTGTCTGTAATGTGGTTGGCAGACTTAGGAGCAACAAACCAAGGAATCCCAGAAGTACGTGCCATGCCTACAATAAATTTTAAGGAACATTAATGCTTCATTTCCACTTACTGATTCATTGCATGGCTACAAAAGACCCACTGCCAGATGTTGTAATCACAGCTTGAGAATTCATAATTCTGGATACAATCCTTGGACCAGATATTCTTTATTAGTTCCATTGAATGCTACCCCAACACAAGTAATTTGGGACTAGTCATTTAGGAACTATAATATAGGAGAAGCGTCAGAAACTGTAGGCATGAACATTTGAATTTGCCTGCTTCAGATCCAGACCTCACTCCTGAACTTTTATAATCTCTATACATTTTTGCAAGTAACTGCCATTTAATTCAATTGCATTTCCAAGTGGAAGTGTTCAAGCAAGCCATACAATTTATCCTTAGTTGTATACAAGCATGCCCCAATGAAATCATTGTTGTTACCATTCAAATAACCAGTCTCAGGACTGCAGGTTATGGCTATGACCTAACACAGTTGGAGATTCACAAGTTTAAAAATGCAAAAATAGCACACAGGGTTTTCCTGAACTTTTGTTCCTTAGCAGTTCTTTCACAGTGAACCTCAAACTTTTAAAGTTGAGTGAAGTTTTAAAAGCATTCAGCATAGAAGAGCTATGGAAGAGCAAGCACAAAACCTCTTGTCTGTTCAAAAATAAGGTGTAGTCAAAGTAGAGCCAGAGTTCATGATGTGAAAAATGCTGCGGCCCATGCACTCACATCCAAATGTAAGCTAATGCCCTTTTCCTTAACCAACTCCATCATTATTATTAGCTACTATCATTTATTATTAGGCTTTATTTTAAGGAGAAGCTGTTCGGTTGAGATTCAGCGGTTGTGTGCAAGACAACACTTTGATCTGCACTTCGATGAGTGAACATTTTTCTTTCCTGCTAACACAACTAATGAAGGGATAAAATTAGCTTTAATCCCTAGCACTCTCTTAACCAAAAAAAAAAAAAGGGGGGGGCACTAATCAGCTGTCCTCACTTATCAGTCATCTGCCTAACAACCCTTTGCCTCAAAACACTAACATTTCTGAATGAATTTGCAAGGGGGTAGCACGGGTAGAGAGGAAAAAAGGAATGAGCCATAAGACCCAGACTAGTCTTTCTTCATGGGTCTGAGTCTATCATCTGGTATGAGAGACCGAAAGGTTAAATGGCAAGTACAAGCCCAGACTACATGATAAATCTATAATCAAAAGGCACAGACTGACACCTCAAGATGTGCTTCATTACTATACAACTACACGATTCCCCCCTTTTAAAAGTAGAAACAGATGAAAAAATGCTTTTAACTCCCCCATAATCTTTGCCTGTGAAGAAATCCATTTTCACATCTGTGTCCAAGTGTCACTTAATTTTTTACTCTTTATTAATGTCTAATCAAGAATTCCAAACTTGAAAAACATTCATGTTCCTCCATTCTAGCTATATATTGTGGCTGGGGGCAAAGCACGTTATCGTGCCTACATTTCAGCATTTTGTGCTACTTCTGTTATGAATCATCCTATACAAAACCCACTTTTCTAACTACCTGAAAAAAGAATTCCTTTTCATTACATTTCTCCCCCTCCCCCAAAAAAACATGCTATCAAATCGGTCACAAATGCAGCTAGCAACAGTTTATATATCCTTCTTTGCAGAGACACTGGGAAACTCCTCCTGCGCCAGCCTCTTGGGAACGGGTGGGAGTTCCACAACAACACAGTGTGGCAAAACACCACTCATTTCAATGGATCTTATTCAGAAGTAGTTTCTCGGAATGCTATCTTTTGTTAACTTTAATAGCATGATGTAACAGTCTGTTTCTTTTTTCCCTGCCCGCCCCCAGCCCATCCCAGTTTCTCAATAAAGGGAAGAACATGTTAAAACCTTGTTATAAATACAGTCCTCCTCCTGAGAAGCATTACTAAATGCCCATATAAACCACAATAGAAGGTGACAGCTTGCAGATCACTCTAATTTTATCTTCCACAAATGAACTTCCTTCAAATACTTACGGTAAGGAGGATCCATATAACCATTCCTGGGGTCCATAGCAAAGACTGTCCCACGATAAGGTATGGAATGCTCAGGAAGGTGTGATATAGATCCATGGATCTCCTTCTTGATTAATGAGGCCCTTTCCTCGCTAGATGTCGAAGGCTCTTCGCTGATTTTACTGAGGCCTTGCCCGCCCTGTGGCTGCATTGTGATTGCGTTTCTTCTCTCACTGTGATAGGTCTGTCCAGGACTTTCATCCTCTAGAGAGGAAAACACAGAGAGAGAGAGAGACAGAGAGAGAGAGAGAGTTTTGGGAGGGGAGAAGAGGAGAAAGAGAAACTTTTAGCTCAGCTCTAGCAAATAAAAAGTGTTCTTGAAAAGTTTTCTCTGTCTTTTAGCATGAACTTTGCCACAACAGGAGTTTAACAGAGCAGGTGTATGTGTAGCTATGAGGGATGCTCTGGGAAGCAAATTGAAGGGGTAGCGGGTGGGCACCCAGGCCATTTAGTGCAACTGGAAGTTATGCAGTAGATCATCACCACCCCATTCACTGGTGCATTTACCAGAGGGGCCATTAATCATACAGAAATGGACACTGGTATGCTATTTTCTTTCCTCTGGGACAAGAAAGCTTACAAGTTTTGGCTGCTTCAGAAAGAGGGAAAAAATTTGTCACAACTCTGAGAAGATGAGTCCTGCTAGCAGCAACTAAATCAACCCTAACCACCCACCGATGCTTTGTACAGGCTAGCAGTTGCCCCACAGATGCTAGCTGAAAAGAGGAAATCTCTATGCCATTAAAGAGAGATGCCAGTTATTAAAATTAAAGATCAAAGGATTCCTAATAAAGCCTGTGCTAGTTACCTTAGCATATGTGAGCCTACCCGCTATAGACTATGGGTGCAAACATGTGCAAAACAAGAGTTAAAAGTTTAAACAGCAATATAGATTTGTATACTTACACACACAGAGCCCAAAAACATGGTTTTCCATCAACAAGTGTACAGATCTACTTAAACTTTAGTTCTAACCATTGTACCTCTGCACACTCAAATATAAATATGCAAGGAATAGCAGGCTTTGAAGGAACAGCAGACTCTGATACGTGTATTTACTTAATTGGAGGGAAATTAACTGTTATTTATTTCTTGTAAGTAAGATAGGATCTTTTCATATATAATACTAATCTCATGTTATATATATTTATGCATTACAAATTGAGTTTTATCAAAAGTATATTCAATGTCTGTCTTATTCTTCTATATAACTCATCTAGCCATTTGGGAAATGGGAAGACCCAAAACTATCCTGAATGTTTTCATGCATCCAAGAAAATTTACATAACAAACCTCAGAGGAAAAACAATGAAAAAAATCTAATCACTCGGTTCACTTGAGTAATAAAACAGAGATTTGGGGGGCATCGATCACACCCCATACCCATACCTCCAGGCTAAAATCAGGCGCACCATTCAATGCCTACCCCACTCCATACAGGTCACCAGCCCTGCCCACAAAGTTAACAGGAGAATAATTTTGATTTGGTTGGCAGGAAGAGGGGCATCCCAGTGAAGACTAATCAGGAAATGGAATATCTGAAGTATTTATACATTTAAGGGGAGGAGCATGTGAAAATGAACACTACTCTCCCCACCCCCAGATAAGCAATCTGCCCCGGCTATGCAATCCAACCTTTCAGAACACATTTCATGAGCATACGTATAAAAATATGGTCAATACATGTGGCTCTTATTTATTCCTACACTTCCATAGATTATGGAGAGTTGGTGTGGTGTGGGGGTTAAGAGTGCAGGACTGGACTCAGGAAATCAAGGTGCTAGTCCCCACTCAGCCATGGAGCCAACTGGGTGACTTTGGGCCAATCACAGACTCTCAGTCCAACCTACCTCACAGTGCTGGTGTTGTGAGGGTAAGACTGGGGGGAGGGGGGGGAGGGGAGGAGAAATATGGAAGCCATCGTGAGTTGCTTGAAGGGAAACAAGGTAGAATAGAAATATAATAAAAACTTAAGTATTGTCCTGTCCCGTGCAAGCATCTGCTACTTGAAGCAATTTCTAATATTAACAAATATAGCAATAAATATCTTTTTATACTGAGCCCCAAGCTTTCTTTTTTTAAGAGCTAGTTCACACATGATAGTTTTGGAAATGCATTTAAGTAGATAGCTAAAATGTAAACTGTGAATGCAACAAACAAGTTTGCAAACCTGTTCTTTCGTAAAGGTACACTCATTAGGGAGCTGTGATTAGCTGCATTAGTTAAGTGAACGCTCTGTGGCAAACCCAGGTTTAACTCAGTACAACTTGTGAAATGGTCCTAAGTCCTATGCATTTGTTTTGAATGGGGAAGATTCATCCAAGTTTGCCTGTAAATTAATTCAGAGTAATCTGCAATGGCCAGTCCTTTCAAGCATAAGGTTCTGATGCAGAGGGAAATATTTCATTACTATTGATAAAATAAAAATACAAGCCGAAGGCATTTAAGCAACAATGCTGGGCACACTGTATCTTTTTAAAAAAGATAAAGTATCTTTTTAAAACTGTATCTTTTAAAAAAATCTCTTAATAGTTGAGGAGGACCATTTTGTATTTCTACATCATTTGTGCACTTTTATAACAACCACACAATCATGCTAAAGAAAACCAGGGCTAAGGTCAAAATGTCAGTTTTACCTTGCTCTTTCATGTGTGTGACAAACAGAATAGGGAGTGATTTTTATCCAGACTTAATTCTGCTTTAAAAAAAATGTCATGTAATATAAAAGCAATAAATGTATTTCAAATTTCCTCGGTGCTACAATAACTTAGGGCAATGAAAATGACTAGGTGATCTGACCATTTAAGACTTCAAACTAGCTTGAAATGTTTGCAACCTCAGCATCATACAAGTGTCTTTTACATTCATTCATTCTGAAGAGGGCTGGCAATGCTAAACACTAATTTTCCTTCCGCTTAGTTCTCTGCACTCTAAAGTTTGCAGAAAGCCATCTAAGAAAACAAAACCATAGATTCTACCCAGATTTTACTATGCTTCAGTATGCACAGAAAGGGTTGCATATTATCAGCAGAACTTTCACATATCCAGAAACACAAGTAGAACCCAAAAAAGTAGTGTTAAGTAATATTAATGCTTACACTTTCTCTCATAATATTTTAATTATGTTCTCTTCAGTCTACTGCAGACTTTTACAGGTAAGTTGTCTTGATTGTTAAGGGGAGATATCCATATTATGTTCAGTATGCCTACAAGCCTCTTTAATAATACAGGTTTAGACTGGAACACTCTATGAAGATAAACAACCTCTGTGTTTAATTTACAAATGTAAAAAATGTTAGGTTTTTCAATATCAGATCTGATTAAACCCAACACTGTTTACTTAACAATGTAATTTACTGGGTCATAACTTGGCACTGATTTCATTTTACCTGTGAGGCTGTGTTCGTGACATAACTGAGAAATAAAATCCAATACTGGACTTCTTTCCAAAATCATTTGCTTAAACATGGTCTGCTATAGATGAAATAGCAAGATGGGAACAAGCAACTGAGGGGCTGCTGTTTATCTTGTCTTATCCCTCAAAATACATAGATGTGGTAAGTTAGACTTTGATTACTTAACTGAAAGACTGGTTATAGATGAGCCATCTGCATGAAATGTGAAGCCTCTACTAAGTTGGAAATAAAAGTGCATCTGATTTTAACAAAGATATGGAGAGGGAGCCTGTGCCAATGGGACACCTTTCTTTCATGAAAGCCACACCACTTATTGGTGAAGTACAGACCGCAGCCAGCCAAAACCACCCCCTCCCCCTCCCCGCTTTTTGTGCGCCATGGCATTTTTGTATTAATGAGAAATTCCAAGGGACAAACCATTTGTTAAGAGTTTACTTCATGCCCTGCGCTGCAGAGGTCCTTTTCAAAGAGAGCAGATGAGAAACTTGACAGTACATGCACTCCAGAATACAAATAGCCAAGTGGTTTAAAATCACACTCTCTATACACTGAAAGGAAAAACTTTTTTGTGCCATAATTCCGCCAGCTCTTATAACCGCTGCAAAACCACTTCAGCAAACCAAAAGGTGAAAGCTGTCTAATCTTGTTCTGTTTCAGCTGAATTGTTCAATAAAATTTAAGAGTCAGTGCAGACAAGCTGCGCCAGGCCAAATTATTGACAGAAACAGACAGTCCACCATGGCAACAAGTGGAAGTCTAGAGCAAAAATGTAAGCAAACAAACCATTCTCCGGAAGCATCTGCCAATCGAGTCTTGAAGCCAAAAAACCAGAACTGTGACAGCTTGCCTGTGTTAAGATGTCACCTATTCTCCCTTCAAAAGAAGGGGTCTATTCTGCTTCCACCCACCAAAAGAGAGGCAGAGAACTTGCAGCAAGCCAAATGCCACCTGAAAGTCAAAGGGCCAGATTAGTTTCAATTATGACTGTTTAATATTAGTTAACCACATGGTGCTTTATTATTTCATGCACTTCTTCCACTTTATTCTAGGGAAAGAGAAAAGATGCTGAGTGTATTACACATTTATACTAATTTCCGTCAGTCCTCATTTTCTCTCTACAGGGCTTAAGTGAAGAAAGGATCCAAACCCATGGATCATATACCTCATATCAAATATTTGGCAGTGGCATTTTTTCATTTCTGACTGGATGGAGGAAAAGTGCCTCTGAACATGTGCAGAGCATTTTCCAAATCAAAGACCGTGTGCATGGGGTAGGGTTTTCATATCAGAAAGTACAGCTCCCAGGCAGATTTGAGGGCTAGCACTTCTCACTTTTCAAATATAACCACTATGTAAGAATTTCCCTGTTAGAAGCCAGTCATGGAAGTATAGCAGCCCACCCCCTGAAGTCTACATTCTCTCCAGCAATATATGACGTGAATTAGTCCCATGAATATACACAGCCGTATAGAGAGACCAAAGATCAGAAAGTTTTACAGAATAGATGCTCATCTCAAAATGCTTTGCCTGCCAAAATGTATCCTTATAACTATCTTTTTTCTTTCTGAAAGGGAAGCACATGCACACAACCTCCATCTTCATGAACCAAACTTGTTCTCCCACTCCTGAAGAAGTCAAATCTATCAAATGTAATCTCCAAAAGCCATTGCTTTAATTAAATAAAAAAGCAACAGTTGCTTCAAGATGTTTGGTTGAGAGGGAAGGTCCCTCAAATATCACTATTAAGCACAAATCCTAAGAACAGACCAAGTCAGTCTTAGGGTGCGA